ATGAACACGGATGTCCATTATTTATATCTTCCTTAATTTCTTTCAACAATCTTTTGTAGTCCTCAATGTATAAATCCTATACTTCTTTTGTTAAATTTATTCTTAAGTATTTTATTCTTTTGGGCATTATTGTAAATGTGATCATTTCCTTAAATTCATTTCCGGGTTGTTCCCTGCTAATGTATAGAAATACAAGCAATTTTTGTGTATTGATCTTGTATCCTGTCATATTGCTGAATTTGTATATTAGTTCTAAAAAGTTTTTTTTTTTAATTTCCTTAGGATATTCTACATATAAGACCCCATGTCATTCACAAATAGAGATTGTTTTACTCCTTACTTTCTAATCTGGATTCTTTGATTTCTTGAGTGACTGCCCTGGTACTTGTTACACAACAAGTACTATGTTGTGTAAAGGTAGCAAAAGCAGATACCCTTGCTTGTTCCTGATCTTAGGTGAAAGCACTGAATCTTTCTCCATTACGTTGGAGGTTAGCTGTGGGCTTTTTACAGGTGTTCTTTATTGGGTTGAGAAAGTTTCCTTCTACTGCTGATGGCTTTTACCATGAAAGGGTGCTGAAATTTGCAAATGCTTTTTCTCTATTTGAGATGAACATGTGGGTTTTGTCCTTTGTTCTATTAACATGGTATATTATATTGATTTATTTCCAGATGTTAAGCTAACCAATTCTGGAATAAATTTCATTTGATCATGATGTATACTCCTTTTTATATATTGCTGGATTTGTTCTGCTAGTATTTTGCTGACGATTTTTGCATGTATATTCAGAAGGGATACTGGTTTGTAGTGTTCTTGTGATATCATTGGTTTGGTATCAGGATAATACTGGCCTCACAGAATGAGTTGGGAAGTGTCCCTTCCTCTTCTATTTTTTGAAGGAGTTTGTGAAAGATTGGTATTAATAAAAAAATAATTATTAAGGAAATTTTCAAATGGCCCTAAATAGTACAAATAGTAAATTTATGAATCCCCATGCATCCTTCCACTCGTTTCAATAATTATCAATATTCTACCACTCTTGTTTCACCTCTACTTACTTCCTAATGCCTGATTCTTTAGAGGGTGAAATTACTTTAAAGAAAAAGACTTCATTATAAATATTTGTAAAATATATCTCTCTAATAGATAAAGACTTCTTTTCTTTTAATATAACCAAAATTTAATTGTTTCACAACAAAATTAGCAATAATTCCTAATGTTATCTAATACCTGGTCTATGTTCAAATTTCTCCAAATGTTTCAAAATAATTTTTAGAATTACTATGAATCAAGATCCAAAGAAAGTCCAACACTGTATTTGGTTGATATGACTTTTATTAACAGTCCTCTCTCTCCCTTTCTCCCCCATGCCATTCATTTATTTGATGAAAAAAAAACACACACACAAAACAAGGTCAATTTACTGTGTAAAAATTTTTCATGTTCCATGTTTGGCTCTATCCTCATGTGTCTGTTTAACTCATTCTTCTATCCCTTATGCTTCTCTGAAACTGAAGGTTCGATCTAGATTCAGGTTGCTAGGAACTTACTTATAGAAGACACAATGTCTGGCTGTCCTACTTTCAGTGTTAAGATTGATCTATGGTTTCAGGTGCTATCAGTCTGATCCATCTATACTGATAAAAGAGTAACATGCTAATTAGACCAGACGTATTCCGGACGACCATCTGGACGTCCTTCCTGACAAAGCCTGCAGGGTGAAGCTGCCCTCCAGCAGTACCCAGCGCCAGTGCCTGCGGCTGGCTGCAGCCCAGGAAATGGAGAAGCCGAGCACCCCGCGGTCCTGGGCCGCAGCCAGCTGGAGAAGCCACCCGCCCACCCTGTGGTCCTGGGGGAGACGGAGAAGCCGCCTGCCCCACGGTCCTGGGCCGCAGCCAGCCAGAGAAGCCGCCCGCCCACCCTGTGGTCCTGGGGGAGATGGAGAAGCCGCCTGCCTGAAGTCCAGGTGCTGTACCTGAGGCTGGCTGCAGTCTGTGAGATGAAGAAGCCGCCTGCCTGTGGTCCTGGGCTGCAGCCAGCCGGACTACCCGCCCGCACAGCATCCCGGGGGAGACGGAGAAGCCTCCCGCCTGCAGTCCAGGCGCCAGTGCCTGAGGCTGGCTGTGGCCCAGGAAATGTAGAAGCCGCCCACCCTGAGGTCCCAGGCCATAGCCAGCCGGAGAAGCTGCCCGCCCCACGGCCCTGGGCCACAGCCAGCCGGAGAAGCTGCCCACCCCACAGGCCGGGCGCCAGTGCCTGCTGCTGTGGCCCGGGCGAAGCCACCTGCCCACCGTCCTCCGAGGCTGCAGCCGGCCTGGGTGAAGCCGGCCTGGGTCCTGGGTGCCTTTGGCTGGCCAGAAGGAGGGAAGCCTGGTCCTGGGTGCCTGTGGCCGGCTGGAGGAGGGAATTCTGGGTCCCAGGTGCGGGGCTGAGGCAGAGGTGGTTAGGGGCGATCAAGCCAGCAGGGGAGCAGTTAGGGGTGACCAGGCTGGCAGGTGAGCGGTTAGGAGCCAGAGGGGTCCCAGATTGGAGAGGGTGCAGGCCGGGCTGAGGGACACCCACCATCCCCCGCCCCGCCCCCGTGCATGAATTTCGTACACCGGGCCACTAGTCTATTATAAAATTCCCCATAAACCTTTTATCTAATGGTTTTAGCAACTACCGACAATGTGTATGACAAAGTTTGCAACATGGTGATTTTCTAATTCTTCCACTTCCTCTAAGGATAGGATTTTTTTACCTTTATAATTCTAGACTCTAGGTCTATGATTCCAAAATTAGGATGGCACAGCCTTCAGGTGCCAATTGTGGAAGCTCTGGGGTGTTTTTGCTTGTCATAGTGTCTGCAGAGTCCTCGTGGCATTAACAGACAGAGGCCAGATGCTGCCTGCTCTACAATTCACAGAATCCTACATAACAAAGAATGCACTGCATCCCACACAACTTTTGAAAGTCTTGTTAGACATTAAAGGAGATGTAAAGCCTACATAAATTATCTGAGTCCAAGACTATTCTACATATGAACACAAAGTATTTTTCATACTGGTCTAATACAAAATTTTCCAGGAATATAACTGATGTAATTAAGAAACACTGTCCATCCATTATTTTGTTTGCCATTCTCCTATGGGCTGTTCACCATTTCAGAAAAGTCATGTTAGCAATAGCAACACAGTTTATATACTCAGTTGCTGACACGACTCATCTGTATGCGCCAGCTTCTGTTGCTGTCAAATTCAAGATAATTCCACATAAAACAGCAAATATCTGACTATGTTTTCCAGTGAAATCTTGCTCAGGCATCTAAACAATGAAATACACATTATCTTATTATTAACCAGAGGCCCGGTGCAGGGGAGTGTTAGTGGGGTGGGGAAGGGTCCCTCAGCCCAGCCTGCACCCTCTTGCAATCCGGGACCGCTGGCTCCTAACTGCTCACCTGCCTGCCTGCCTAATCGCCCCTAACCACTCTGCCTGCCTGCCTCATCACCCCTAACCACTCTGCCTGCCTACCTGATCACCCCTAACTGCTCGCCTGCCTGCCTGATTGCCCCTAACCACTCTGCCTGATTGCCCCTAACTGCTCACCTGCCTGCCTGATCGCCCCTAACTGCTCGCCTGCCTGCCTGATCGCCCCTAACCGCCTCTACCTTGGCCCCTGGTGCCGTGGCTTCGTCCAGAAGGACGTTCGGAATGTCGTTCGGCTATCGGTCTAATTAGCATATTACATTTTTATTATTATAGATTACTCTCTTTTTATTTCTCATTTATATTATAGTTAGAATTTTATACCAATTCTATTTGAAACTGAACATTTGGTAAGTAACAATATCTATGAATTCCATTTTGAGAGAGTAAAGGAGATTTCACAGAATATTTATTTTGAAATGGGCAGTGTGTCCAAAATAACTGAATTATTATCTATTTAAGGTCTAAAAATCTCCTCCAATTTGACTGCTGCCCAGACCTTATTCTGAAATCTTGCCACCATATTCTGGTTACATCACAGCCAGAGTATTGTGCTGGGTGTGAGGATACCTGGACCCCAGCCCTGGCTCTGTCTCTTTATTAGTGGCTCATGACCTTACAAAGGTCATCTTACCTCTGTTCCTGTCTGTAAAATAAGAATGTTAGACCAGACAAGCTGTTCCAACCTCTCAACCATTTTTTATTATTCTTTACTCTCCCACAGGACCTAGTATTTCTGAAGATTGCCAAAGAGACTGCCAATTATTACTTACTACAATAATTAAATCAATTTCCCACAAAAATCTAATCAAAAGTATACTAATTGCCAAAGAGAATAAAATAACGATAGTTGGCACTTAATGAGTGTGTATTATGGCCTCAAAGTGAACCTTCCTCCACCCTGCCAATCCTATTACTACTACATTGTGGATTCCAAATTGGAAAGTGCGTCTCAGCCAGAGACTAGTCTCCCTGGTCCTTCTCTCCTCCCTTGGAGCAGAAGTCTCCAGCCCTGAAGGCTGCTATGCTCATCTGCAAAGATCTTGGGCATAATTTGTTCACATACCATGCTGTTTTGGAAAAGTTCTGAAGTTGTCAAAGGGGTCAGGGGACTCCAATAAACTGAAACAGGCAAGACACTGGGACTACATCTTCTATGGGACAGTACTTCTGCATCTTTGCATTTTCCCAAAAAGCCTGTCCAGGGCCCTGCACACACCAAGAGCTCTGGCATCAATAACTGAAGCACCTCGGCAGCCACGTAGGAGTATGCACACAAGCCCCATGGGCATTGACCCTTGGGCTGACTCAGAGGCTCTTTGTAGACTCCATAAAGGGGCAGGCAGCCTTAAGATGCTGGGTAGTTAGGTGACTAGTGGCAGCGCAAGAACTCACTGCTCTACTTATGTCTTCTATCTCCATACACTAGGACTCTGACAAATCTGTTGAAGACACATAGGGGCCAGTGAGGAGGTCATGGCTGGAATCCTTCTACAGAAGCATGGCTGCCCACTGGGGGCTCTATACTCACCAGGAAGGAGGCCGGCTAATGTGTGGGTGCTGTGGGTGAATCCGGAGTGGGTCCACCTCTCTGGCAGTGGCAGGCGGAAACTCCCGATGGGGACTGCTTACACTAGCCTTGTCCCAAGGCTCGTGGAGAGGTGTGATGATTTCAGATGCAATACGAGACCGAAGTTCCTCACTGTTCCTGTAGGTCCTATAGGAGGTAGATGAGGTGTCAACTGTTTGTTGCTGGTTGGCAACCCTTAATACAGTATTTTGGTGGCTGCGACGGCCTTGACAGCTCTTGAAAGTACGCTTAGACTGTTTGCAAGGGTGGGAATGGGCTGCCCAGCAGGCCTTGGCGAGGGGGGCAACAGCCCGAGGTTTTCTACAAGATTTGCGCCTAAGCCTCTTAGGCATCTGAGTTGTCCCTCCTCATTTACCACCCCGTTAGAAAGAGGTGAGAGTGTAGGGGCACAGGGCCTGGACTGGCTACTCCTCTGTACCCACCCCATCCCATCCCACCCTCAATTATGTGTTCATCATGTGTCATGGGAAGGATCATGGAAGGCAAAGGCTCTGGGGGGAGGATAAACTTGGTTCCTGGTCCAAGTAGGCAGGGCTCTGGGGGCTCAAGGTCTAGTTCTGTCACTAATTCAGAGGCCCTTGGAAGGTTCCTCTGGGCCTCCCTTCTCTGCCAGTGAGAGATAAGCAATGTGAGCTATAGATGAGGTGTTGAGGCAGAGTTGGGTAACAGGTGTTTTAAAATGAGCCATATCCTAGGTCAAAAAGCAAACCTCACAAATGTTAAAAACTGAAATAATATGTTTTCTGACCATATGGAATAATATTAAACATCAACACAGAAAGGAAGTCTCCAGATACAAGGAAATTAAGCAACACTAGTCTAGATAATCCATGAATCAAAGACAAAGTCTTGAAAAAATACAAAGTATTGAATAAAAATAAAACATATTAAAATATGTGTGATATAGCTAAAGCAGTATTGAGTGGAAACGTCATAGCATTAAATGCTTACATTGGAAAAAGTGGGGGGGAAAATCATAATAAATCTCAGAGGGAAGGTGGGGGTGGGGGGGTAGGAGGAGAGATTAAGGAAAATTCTGACTTAAGAACCTAGAAAAAGAAGATCAAATTAAACCCAAAGCAAGCAGTATGAAATAATAAAGAACAGAAATCAATAAAGCAGGAAAGTAGTAGAGAAATTTAATTAAAAAGCTGGTTCTTAAAAAAATGAATAAAATTGATAAACCTATTGCAAGACCAGCAAACATAAAAAGAGAAGACACAAATCACCCGTATCAAGAAAGAAATGAGATTTTACAACAGCTCTGTTGCTAATGAAAGAATAATAAGAGACTACTAAGAACAACTTAATTCAACAACTTAGACCAATTCTTTAAAACCACAAACTCTAACAACTCAGCCAAAATGAAATAGATAATTTGAATATAGTAACTAAATCCATACTTAAGCACCCCAAAAAGAAATCTCCAGGTCCAGATTATTTCAATGGATAATTCTACCAAACATTTAAAGAATTAATATTTTTTTAAAAGAACATCAATTTATAGTCACTCCCAGAAAAATACAAGAGGAAGAAACATTTCCCAACTCATTTTATGAGGCCAGTAATACCCTGATATCAAAACCAGGCAATGAGTACAAAAAAAGAAAACTACTGACCAGTATTTCCTATGAACTTGGATGCAAAAAATGCTCAACAAAATATTAACAATTTGAATAAAAAATATATAAAAAGAAATATACACCACAGGATTTATTGTAGGTATGCAAGACTGGTTCAATATTACCATACCGATAAGTTAAGAAAAATCAAATAATTATGTCAATTGATGCAAAAAAATATGACAAAAGACCTATAGTAAATCTATTCATGAGAAAAACTCTCAACAAACTAGGAACAGAGGGGAACTTCCTCAATTTGATAAAGAGCATCTACAAAAAAAGCCCATAGCTAGCAATATATTTAGTAATGAAAGTCTGAATACTTTAGGAACAAGGCAAGCATATCCTCTCCCACCACTCTTATTTAGCATAATACTGGAAGTTCTAGCTCCTTCAATTTTGCAACTTAGAAATTCACACATGAAACCTACATGTGCATGTTGACCAATGTCACCCCAGTAAAATTTAATTAAAAAAACACATTCAAACCTGAAAAAAAAATTAAGCAAGAAAAAGCACACAGATTAGAAAACAAAAAATAAAACTGCCCCTATTTGCAGATGACATGATAGTCTACCTTGAAATTCTAAAGGAATCTATAAACTCCAACACTGTGAGCTCACCAAATATTTAATATACAAGACAGCATATAAGAGCAATACACAAAAATAAACAGCATTTCTATATACAAACAATGAACATTTGAAAATCAAAATTAAGAAAGAACTCCATTTATGATCACCTCTATTCCCCCCCAAAAATAACAAAAACATGTTCAGATTCTATATGTTTAAAATTACAAAATGATCATGAAAGTAACCTAATTAAGACCTAAGTAATTGGAGACATACTATGTTCATAGTAAAAGTGTCAAGTTTCCCCATCATAGGTTTAACGATCAATAGGTTTAATGCAACTTCTATCAAAATTCCAGCAGGTTTTTTTTATAGACACAAACTTATTCTAAAGTTTATACAGAAAGGCACAGATCCTAGAATAGCTAAACCTATCTTGACAAAGAAGTGAATGGAGGAATCATTCTACTCAATATTAAGGTTTACTATGTATCTACAATAATCAGTATTGTGTGATAGGGGCAGAGGGATAGACACAAAGATCAATGGAAAAAAACAAAACAAAACAGAGAACCCAGAAATAGACCCACACAAGTACAGACTACTGATTTTCAACAAAGTTGCAAAAGCAATCCTATATAATAAAACCCTAATATGCAAATTGACTGAACGTGGGAATGACTGCTCGCTATGATGTGCACTGACCACCAGGGGGCAGATGCTCAATGCAGGAGGTGCCCCTTGGTAGTCAGTGGGCTCCCATAGGGGGAGCACCACTCAGCCAGAAGCCAGGCTCACGGCTGGTGAGAACAGCGGTGGTGGTGGGAGCCTCTCCTGCCTCTGCTGTAGGCAGGCAGTAAGGAACGAGAGGTCCTGGACTGCGAGAGCCCCAGACTGTGAGAGGGATGTTTGACTGCCAGCTTAGGCCAGATCCTGGGGGAATCAGGCGTAAGCGAGCAGGCGGACATCCCCTGAGGGGTCCCGGACTGCCATAGGGTGCAGGCTGGGCTGAGGGACACCCCGCCATGTACGAGTCTCGTGTACCGGGCCTCTAGTTCAATATAAGAGCAAATGGTGTTGAAGCAATGATATCCACAGGCAAGAAACCTCACATCTTACACAAAAGTTAACTTAAGCCTTGGCTGGGTGCTCAGTTGGTTGGAGTGTCATCCCGTACACCTAAAGGTTGCATGTTTGAATCCCAGTCAGGGCACATACCTAGGTTGCAAGTTCGATCCCCCATCAGGGCGCGTCCAGGAAACAAATGACTGATATTTCTCTCTCTCTCTCTCTCTCTCTCTCTCTCCCTCCCTCCCTCCCTCCCTCCTCCCCCTCTCCTTTCCCCTCTAAAAATCAATAAAAACTTATCCTCAGGTGAGAATTAAATTTTTAAAAAATTAATCTATAATAATAAAAGCGTAATATGCTAATTAGACCAGACAGCCGAACGACCTTCCAGATGTCCTTCCGGATGAAGCCGCAGTGGTGGGGGCTGAGGCAGAGGTGGTTAGGGGCAATCAGGTAGGCAGAGTGATTAGGAGCCAGCGGTCCTGGATTGCGAAAGGGTGCAGGCCGGGCTGAGGGACAACCTCCTCCCGTGCATGAATCTCGTGCACCGGGCCTCTACTTTAAAATAAATCACAAACTTAAATGTAAGACAAAACTAAAATGTTTAGAGAAAATATTTGGGAATCTAGGGCTAGGCAAAGAATTCTTAAAACTTAACACACTAAAAGCAAAAATGATAAAATAGATATTTTCAAAATTCAAAACTTATGTTTTGCAAAAGTCCCTGTAAAGAGAAAGAAAAAACACAATACAGAATAAAGTAATTATAAATCCCTACCTAACAAAGACCTTGTATCTGAAATATATACTTGTATAAGGAACTCTCAAAATTACAACAGTAAAAAAAAAAATTAGAAAACGGGCAAAAGACATTTTGCCAAAGAAGATGTACAGATGGTAAATACACACATGAAAAGATGCTCAACATCATTAACCATTAGGAAAATGCAAGTTAAAACCACAATGAGATATCACTACATATCTACCAGAATAACTAAAATGAAAAATAGTGATAACACCAAATGTTGGTGAAGATACAGAGACCACTCACAGACTGATGATGGAAGTGTAAAATGGTATATGTACTCTGGAAAATTGTTTGGCAATTTCTTAAAAAACTAAACATGCAATTACCATTGTACTCTTGGGCATTTACTGCAGAGAAATAAAAAATTTGTCCACACAAAAGCCTGTACATGAGTGTTCATAGCACCTTTATTTGTAATAGCAAAAAGCTGGAAATAACTCAGATATCCTTCAATGAATGAACAAACTGGGTATATCCATACCACAAACACTACTTAACAACACAAAGAAACAAACTATTGGTGCATGCAACAACTCGGATGGATGAGAAGTCAACTCCAAAAGCTTACATACTGTATGATTCCACTTATATATTTTTGAAATGAGATAATTTTACAAATGAAGAATAAGTAATGGTTGCCAGGAGGAAGAGTAACCGTGGCTATAAAAGGCATCAGGAGCCCTAGCTGGTTTGGCTCACTGGATGGAGCGTTGGCCTGGGGACTGAAGGGTCCCAGGTTTGATTCCGGTCAAGGGCATGTGCCTTGGTTGCAGGCACATCCCCAGTATGGGGGTGTGCAGGAGGCAGCTGATCGATGTTTCTCTCTCATCGATGTTTCTAACTCTCTATCCCTCTCCCTTCCTCTCTGTAAAAAATCAATAAAATATATTTTTTTTTCAAAAAGGCATCAGGAGGGATCCTGCGGTGGCTTTGTATCACTGTATCCAAGTCAAATTCTGGTCATAATGTCTAGTATAGTTTGTACAATGTTATCATTAAGGTAAAAAGTATAAAGGACACAAATGGTCTCTCTGTATTAAAAGTTTAATTAAA